ATTAAATTCGGAAAAATTAATTTCCGACCTCGCTGGGCAATGTTGGTTGATGTAACAAGAGAAGCTAATGAGGAGCGTTTTGATATCGTCAACCAAGATGGTGGTTATGACGAAATAGGCACATGCTCTATACCCTTACCGGAGTGGAAATGTCCAGCGTTAGCTTCAGGTAGCTCGTAATGTCTATACTCATTGATATGCCACACAGTGATCCCAACAGTCGTACACAGGTTGCCTTCCTTATAATAGTCTCCAGTCCACCGTGTTGGAATACCGTGACCTCGACCAACGTTCACCCCTTCGAACGTCTCTCCTTTGACTAGTTCGGGCGAGGCGACCATGATTTTTGGATCACACGGTTTTAGTTCTGCTGGGGTGTACTTCTGTAGAGAACAAAGTTACGAAGAAGTCAGTTTTGCATTTTCCGTACTTCATACATAATACAGCACGCAGAAAATTACGAAAGCACAGAGGTGAGCGAGCATATTTTCTGTACTTCATACATTAGTACAGCACGCAGACCAGCACGCAGAAAATTACGAAAGCACAAAGGGGTGCGCTCGCATATTTTCTGTACTTCATACATTAGTACAGCACGCAGACCAGCACGCAGAAAATTACGAAAGCACAAAGGGGTGTGCGCGCATATTTTCCGTATTTCATTCATTGATACAGCACGCAGGAAACTACCCTTACTACTTCATGTGGTACTAACCAAAACTACGCACAAAGCAAAAAGATTTGCGTGCGCAAATAACATGAGCACCGTGCTCTTCTTTAAGAAGAAGCGCTGTTTTTGACCAATCAAAGCGCGCCTCAATAAGTAAAAAAAAAATAAAGAATATATGCTGTTAGGGTATGAAGCCGAGCCTCGCATGCTTCTCCTGGGAACAAAAGTGTCTTGAGCTTATTACTAATATTCCCGTATTGGCTACACCCTATTCTCACCCCTACGTGAAGYACTATAGTACCCTAGTATCCGATCATTACCTTAATAATTAGTTCTCCACTGCTCGGGTGACCCTTCATTTTAATAATCTTCGTAGGATCAGGCCAATCAAGGAACTTCTCTCGGAAAAGAATGGTCTCAGCTTTCTCGTGCAGTCGAGCAAATAAAGCCCATTGGGGTCGGGCAGGGGCGGGTTTGTTATCGTCAGTCCTAGACGTGGTATCTGGGGCTTTACCGTAGGGGTACAGGGGGTTGTATATTCCCGGAGGTTCAAATGGTGACTCGAAGAGGCGTTTGCCTAATGCGAATGCTATCTTACGCTGTCCAGAGAGTGATTGTTGACCATTCCAAACGTACAGCTCTGACCCGAAGTCAAATATCAACACCTAAGTTACGAGAACGACAAAATATTAACATCATTTTAACTTGAGGATGAAAAATATACAAATATAGGAAATATAGGCTAGTGAAGGCTGGTAATGAGATTTATGCGATTCAGTGAGCGATTCAATGAGCTGTTTGATTTAAAGCAATAGAATATTCTCTCGTCAATGACAAGCAGTGTTTTYCCCTTCATTGAAGGCTGATAATGAGTTAAAATTTATTCAGCTAATAGTCCCCTTCACAGTTCCCTGTGCCATCTTGAAAGGTAGCAGGGCCTTTGCATCGAAGGGAGACGAACGGTGAGCTTGCAATGATAGAGACCTTTTTTTAACACCTTGGGCAATTATAAACAGGTCTCTATCATTGCAAGCTCACCGTTCATCTCGCTTCGATGCAAAGGCACGGCTACCTTTCAAGATGGCGCAGGGAACTGTGAAGGGGACTATTGATTCCAATACATACCAATAGCCGCTTAACACCATGCATTTTATACATACCTCTTTAGTGTCTAATACCGATACTTGTGGCAGATGTCCACACATGGATTCGACTGGAGACAAGGAAGGGGGTTCTGTCCAATGGACTTTGTACACCATATTTGTCTTGGTAATTCCTTTCTCGTAATCCTCGTCACTGGGAATAGCATCGGCACCTGTGGAGAGACATTAAATTGTTTTAATATCCATAAAACTTCTGAGAAATTTGTGCAAACTTCATGGAAAGAAATATGAAGTAGTAAATGAAGAAGAAGAGGGTAGAGGTGTGGAAGGAGAAGTAGAAGGAGAGGGAGAAGGAGGAGGAGGAGGAGGAGATGAGGAGAGGGAGAGGGAGAGGGAAAGGGAGAGGGACAATCCACCTATCTTTTATATCGGTTTTGCTACCCATAGGGTGAAAAAGCGAGAGCACCTTTTGAACTTCCAGCGGTAGTCAGTTTATTCTTACCTCTGATTTCTTCATCCATATTCCCATTGAGAATTTTAAAAAACTTTTTAGCTCCCCTAAGCTTTTCAGGGTCTCTTTCTCTTTCCTCGACAAAGGTGATATCGCGTGCTTTACAGTCCAGCTCTCGTTTAGTAAATATACGAGATGCTATCTCTGTCACCTGCAACAAATAAAAATAACAAAAAAGCTCTTTTTTAATCTGAGTATTTATGCGTTCCTGATTGAACTCATTAGTATAACTGGTCTCGTAAGTATTTTTCAAATACTAACCCACAAATGAGCGGATTTTATGACTGGAAAACGTACGGTGCTGACTTACAACACGTATACAGTACGACATGCCGTTGAAATGGCCTACTATTGTTTTTCAGTAATTCAGCCAATCACAACACGTGGTTTAACTGCGGCAAGAAATGGTACGGCTACAAATATACCCTATCATTACCCACTCATACGAAAATCACGCTGCGGCAAATTCGTAGCCACACCTACAGTAGACAATGCAAAGCCATTTCAATGTTAAGGGGTGTTGTTCCGTGTGCGCGATGTAAGACATTACTGTACATATTCCACTCATACGAAAACCGATCCCGGATAATGTGTGTCGCGTGATGATTGTCACCTTACTTCTTATTAGAGAGTTTCTGTGATTTCTGTTATAATTCTAATTGCGTTACCCGGATAATTGATAATGTGTGTCGCGTGATGATTGTCACATTACTTCTAATTAGAGGGTTTCCGTGATTTCTGTTATAATTATAACTGCGTTACCTTTGCTCTCTCGATAGCGTTGGCTTCTTTTCCTACCCAAGCAAATAGTTCTTCCTTGGTAACCAGAACGAAGCAGTCACCAGAGTTCAAGGATTTCTGGCACGGGTCCACTAGACGACTTTGCATGTTGCGACGACCTATGTACATATAAACCACACGAGAACAATTTCTAAAGACGCTAAGTACATAGAAATGTTTTTGTGTGAGTGGGAAAATGATACAGYGTTTTCGTAGCCGTAACGTAACCGTACTATAAATGCTTGGATTACTCGAAGACAATGGGAAACAATTTCAATGAAACGGCACCTCGTACCGTGTCCGTGCTGTAAGACAGTACCGCATGTTTCCAACTCAAAAGAAACCATTCTTATGGGAAGCCATTTCAGTGTTAGAACATGTCATACCGTGTACGTGTTGAAAGTTAGTACCGTATGTTTCCCACTCATACGATAACTATTCTTTTGGGGAAGTCTTTTCAACGTTACAGCATGTCCTACCCTATACGTGCCGAAAGTTAGTACCGTATGTTTCCCACTCATACGAAAACCGTTCTATTCGTAGTTGACGGTCCATCGGTAAAATCTAAAATAGTCTGGTTGCAACAGGACAGCTCGCATAGTACACAGATAAAACACATAAGAGAACATTTCTTCTATATTTTTTCCGGCAGTTGCGCATCTTTTTGCCCACACAAATTAATAACAAAACGAACGCCTCGCTTAAGCCCCACTTAATTGCGCAACCCATATTTTTTTTCAAATATATAATTGGCTAAAATGTTTGGCCCCATCAATTTTCAATCAAAAACACATTTCCCCCCCGAGATTAAYCACTTGAGCGATAACTGATCACGTGACCTACCGGTCCATATCGCACATTAATGTTACCTTTGATGTGTAATAACATGACTGGTTTTGTCCCTCGGTAATCATCCTGCTCCTTGGCCTTCTCTGGGCCGGCTGTTTTCCTTAAAGTTACTTTAGTGAAGTCTTCTGTGCTGGCTAGACCAGCAATAGCAGATTCTGCTAAGTTGATAGTATGGCGACGCCCTAGAAGCAGAGAAAAAAAAAAACGAAACATGCGTCATAGCAGGCGTATGCTATCCCTACTTTTTCAAAATTACGTAACCCAGACAACGAGAAGGAATTCCACACGTCTGGGACCGATTCGGCTTCCGTTTATCATATTACTACTATAACTTATTAGTTTCTTTGATTGCCCCAAATTAGATCAACCCATGCAGAAAATGTTTCTGCGTTCGACCTGTAAGTTAGCCGTGCCCTGATTGAGATCAGCTCAGAAGTTGTTTTAGGGTACGAACTGAGAGTTGGCCGAGCCTTGACTTTGATCAGCCCAGAAAATGCTTCAGCGTTCTATCTGTGAGTTAGCCGTGCTGCCCTGACTTACATCAACCCAAAGGTTGTTTCAGGGTTAGATCTGTGTGTTAGTCGTGCCCTGACTTTGATCAGCCCAAAGGTTGTTTCAGGGTGTCCATACAATTTGAAGGTTGAAGGATAAGACACGACCTTATATCAGGGAGAATTAAACCTACACAGATTGTCAGGATCTTTATACTTCTTCTTCTTCCTTTTGATGACAGGATGTTCACTTGTGATTTGCTTTTTTTCGATCTTTGGCGTTCGTGGCGGCTATCAGAAGTACGAAACAAATTAGAAGGCTTCTAATGACAGTAATACAATAGAAGTATACGATTAAACATCTCGACAAATGCTTGAGTGTGTAGCACAGTGGATCCAGGGGCGTATCCGGGGGAGGTAAAAGGGGTGACTAGTCACCCCCCCTTTTTGCTCAAATTTCTCAGTATATCGTTAGTAACAGTCACTCCCCTTTTCTCGAATTCCTGGTAAAACCTTTGTAATAGTCACCCCCCCCCCCCCCCCCCTTCTAAAATTCCTGGATTCGCCCTTGAGATCCAATCTTTTCTCATGGAAGACTCATTCAAATACGAGCACCCAATACAATAGATTTCATGTGGCCGTGTAAGGTCTCGGATGAACCAATCACTGCTGGATCACAGCAATGTCACGGTCGCGGCACAGCACGTTCCATCCGCGAGTTTTCCACAGTCATACTAAAATCTGATCTAACTGGAAACCCCTTTCTTTGGTCTTTGTGAGGTTTCTGTATTAACGAGTTTTCAAGGTGACATACCTCGGTATCGGTTCTGAGATCTGTTCTCTCCTGTAAAGCCTTGATTGGGTTACTCTTCGTCGCATGGCGTCTGTTGGGTTTCAGGTGCATTTTATTTTCACCAGCTGATTTAAGTTGTCTGGAAAATTAAGTAATCAATAATTTATTATCGCACAAGATCATGTAAGTAGCAATGCTGTAAAAGGACTGATGTACATTAGTGTCGGGATCGAAATCAGAAGGATCAGAATCTAGTTTTTCCTTATCCCTTCGACCTTTAGTCATACATGCTAGTCTGTTATCAGCCATTCCGAGGTTGAGGGAAAAACTAAGTCGAGTTGGCACTGCAGTATGGGACGGTTTTAGGGACAATTTTTAAGATGGCGTCTATCTCTTCCCCTAACGATTCCTACAATGCACTGCAATGCCAACTCGACCCAGTTTCTGCCAATACCTCGGCATGGCTAATTGCTTTTAGATCTAAGGCCCCGAATTGACATTTGATGGTAGTACGCGGAAAAGYAAAGACTGCAGCAAGTTTTGAAGCAAACTGTTGAGTGAAACATTTTTGTTTTGTCATATCATAACTCCCATACATTCCCTTATARCCCTTACACAGGAACCTTGTTTGGGCTGCCTGTGAGTAGGGGAAAAACATTGATGTATAATATTGATATATAATCATTCTAAGGAACACAGAGAAAGACATTGTTATATATGAAGGGGGAAAACGTTTTACAACGCTCTTATACTTCAGTCACACATTAAAAAGAAATAACGAAAGAAAGAGAGAGAAAGAAAGAAAGGAAGAACCTGGAAAGAAAGAAGGAAAGCAGAAAGAGAAAGAAAGAAAACAAGTGGGAAAGAAAGAAAGAGAGAGAGAAATACTGGAACAAGCGGAAGAATGCAAAAAAGAAAGAGAGAGAGAGAGAGAGAGAGAGAGAGAGAGAGAGAGAGAGAGAGAGAGAGAGAGAGAGAGAGAGAGAGAGAGAGAGAG